CCGGGAGCGCCGCGCATGCGTGGTTCCGCCCCCTGCGCCGGCCGAGGCGTAGCTGGCAAGCGGCAGAGACGGAGCAGGCCGACCACCAGCTGGCCCAGCCCAAGGGAGGTAAGGCACCCGCCGGAAAAGGGGGAAAAAATGGCGGACAGCCTTGCTTGGCGACCCCCGTGAAATGGTCGATCGACCCCAAATGGGGTCGTGACCCATAGGTTGAGAACCGCTGCATTAAGGAATATCTGCCAGAACAAAACAAAAAAAAAGACGTTCATTGGAATACACCAGATCTGGGCCATTCATTTTATTTATTTTATTTGGGTTCAGATTTAAATCAAAACGAAAAGGGTTTGAACCAGAGCTTAGGATGGGAAATGCCTTTTTATTGTGACTTACAGACCATAAAAGGCGCAGTGTTTGCAATGCAGATTCCAAGTATCACACATCCGTATTATTTAAAATCGGGATTCTCGACCAAGCGTTAAGGACAAATGAATGGCGCAAGGTTACTAAATCCAGTCCGGTCACCCGCCCTCCTTAGATAAAATTAACATTTTATGCTGATTTTAGATATACTTCTCAGCATTCAGCCAGGATGGACACCTTTTAGGTTTCACGTTAACGACAGAATTGTCATTTGTTATTTTTTGTACATACGTTTTTTTTATTACTATTACTTCCTTGCTCTGTTTGTAGTTGATGCTTTTCTTTTTTTTCCCCCTCGGTTTTTGTATTTTAACTTTGGAGACAAAAAAAAAAAATTATTGTAAAACAAAAAAAAAAAAATTAGCAAGAGGGGAATTGACATTAAACCAGCTGTACGTTTTGTTTGCTGGTATCTCCCATTTCTTCCCCTGGAAAAAAAAGAATCAGCTGCAAACGAAGTATTAAATTCTGAGAAAAGTTCCAATCAGTAACGGTTCAGAATTTTACGCTTCCACCTTTCGTCTCGCTTTTCAACTCCCAGCATTCCCCAGCCAGCCTTAAAGTTGCCAAGACTGCACACCCCTGCCTTAGACAAAGTCAGGAGTGTGGCATTTGTAGGTACCAGGAGGGGTGACCCCCTCCCTCCCTCCCCAGTCCTGCAGTGTGTGCAAGCTACCACAGTTAAATTTTAGAAGATCTTGAAACATCATGTTATGTCGTGAGATTTTGGCTAAAGAACACTAAATGCTTGAGTGAAGAAAGTGGATTATCTTGCAGGATTTAACCACCGGGCGAGAGAGTACACACAACTGAAATAAAGAATTGTAGGAATGCCCGCTCTGTGAGACACACACACACACACACACACATCACCCCAGAAATGGGGACCCCTGGCATAAAAGAATTTGACATGGAGATAAAGCTGCTTCAGGGCCTTAACGGTCCCAATTAAAAAGTTGAAAAATAAAAAAAGAGGTAAAGAATTCCAGGCCTAACACCAAGGAAATGCCAATCAAAATTCCAATTTACCTGTTCCACCTGATTGCCTCCAAGGCAAAATACAGGACAGAGAATGTAGGTGGTGATGGGAAGCTGCATAGTTGTAAAACCCCAGCGAGCACAGCGGAGCAGAGCGTAGGACGGTCGTTAGGAGCTGTGGCAAAGAGATTCTTTGGGAAGAAGATGAGGTTTCTTGCACACAGCGTCGAGCACAAAACAGTCTCTGTGTTCCTCACAGTTTGAAAGTGGCTGATCTCGCCTCTTGCGTTTGTTGAGCGAGGGCTGGTTGGCGCTTTCGTTCCGCTTGCCTTCAGGAAGGCCCAGCGTTCTTAAACAGGCAATAGCCGCCGCTTGTTCGGCGAGCTTCTTGGATTTTTCCCTGGAAAAGAAGAGGACAGGGATAGGGTTGCCAGGAGTCTGAATTTGGATCCTGTCACCGTGGGACCGCAGGGAAGAGTTGTAAGCATGGGGGCTGGATGTACGTCGCTTTCTTCGGTGTTGTGGTAACTTCGCACGGTCGCTAAATGGACAGTTGTAAGTCAAGGATTACCTATATACATAAAGGCCAAACTCTGCATTTGGCAGAGTATCTATTGCGGGGGTCTTCAAACGTGGCCCTTTTATGACTTGTGACATAAGACTTGTGTGATATTGCAGGGGTCTTCAAACTCGTGACATCGCGAGTTTGACATATATGAGCTAGAGCAGGGGTAGGCAACCTTGGCTCTTTTATGACTCGTGGACTTCAACTCCCAGAATTCCTGAGCCAGCCATGCTGAGGGGAAAGGGAGAGGTTTCCAAGCTGAGCCATGCTGGCTCAGGAATTCTGGGAGTTGAAGTCCACGAGTCATGAAGGGGCCATAGTTCCCCCATGCTGGCTCAGGAATTCTGGGAGTTGAAGTCCGCGAGTCATGAAGGGGCCATAGTTCCCCCATGCTGGCTCAGGAATTCTGGGAGTTGAAGTCCACGAGTCATGAAGGGGCCATAGTTCCCCCATGCTGGCTCAGGAATTCTGGGAGTTGAAGTCCACCAGTCATGAAGGGGCCATAGTTCCCCCATGCTGGCTCAGGAATTCTGGGAGTTGAAGTCCACGAGTCATGAAGGGGCCATAGTTCCCCCATGCTGGCTCAGGAATTCTGGGAGTTGAAGTCCACAAGTCATCAAAGGGCCAAGTTTGAAGACCTCAGTTGTAAGATCTAGCACCTGGATGTGTTCTAGGTACTCTTGCTCAAACCACTCCACCCAGCAGGACTCCCAGGAGCGTCTTCTTATCCTTTAGTACGGTGTTTTCCGAACTTGGCAAGTTTAAACTGGGTGGATTTCAACGCCCAGGGTTCTCCAGCCAAGCATAGCCAGCTAGGGAATTCTGGGAGTTGGAAGTCCACTTAAAAGTCGCCACGGTTGGACACCCCTGATCGAAAGGTACTGTGCCGACATTCAGTAGCCCTATTATTCCTCCTCCCTTTCCGAGTTGTTACGAGCAACTCCACTCTTTTTAGCAGAGGATCCCCTTGCAAATACCCTTTCCCAAAAGACGCTTACCATAAAGTTGAGCTGTACTTCTGCCCACCGACCGTCACCACAGAACCGAACAGTCTATCCCGCGGCCTTTCGATCTAGAGCAAGGCGAGAAAACGAAGGGCGGTTGGCTTTGACGTCAACGCAAGCGATCCGTTCAACGTGCTTTGGAGTGAGCGTTGGTGAAACTAGCAAATATTTCAGTGCCAGGCGGGGAACCACCCGCGCTGGTTTAAAGCTAGGATGCAGAAGCTTAATTAAGGCAGCTGGTCCACCCCATTGAAAGCGGCTTTTGGATCTTTGGTTTGCCTGAACAGCTGTTCCTCCAGAAGACAGAGCGAGCTGCCGGTTGAAAAGCTGGAGAATTTCAAAGGCAGCTCGTGATGCGAGAGGCTTGGGCCTAGTGTACGAGCAAAGTGGGTCAAAATTCCCCCCAGACACAAATATTTGCCGAGGCCCCAAGTATCTCTTGCTATCGGAGCCAACGTTTTAAGACAGTGGTTCTCAACCTGTGGGTCGGGACCCCATTTGGGGTCGATCGACCATTTCATGGGGGTCGCCAAGCAAGGCTGTCCGCCATTTTATTTGTCCGCCATTTTTTTTGTCCGCCATTTTTCCCCCCTTTTCCGGCGGGTGCTTTACCTCCCTTGGGCTGGGCCAGCTGGTGGTCGGCCTGCTCTGTCTCTGCCGCTTGCCAGCTACGCCTCGGCCAGCGCAGGGGGCGGAACCACGCATGCGCGGCGCTCCCGGGCAGGGAAAGTCCTCGACTTACGACTGGTTGGGTAGTCCTCGACTTATGACCGGTTTAGTCCTCGACGTACGACCGGTTTAATCCTCGACTTACGACCGGTTGGGGTCGCGGCATTAAAAAGGTTGAGAACCACTGTTTTAAGAGGACCCGATTCCCTATTCAAATTAAATGTTTATTGTGCTCCGAGATCAGCCTAAGAAGAACTTGAAGGGTGGGTGAGTGTTTAACTAATGAATGTTGCCCTATGGTGTCTTACTGTTTCATAAGCAGGTTGAACCAGCTTCTCTCGCCTGCACCATTCCAGAAGATGCATTTTGGGTGTAATTTGTGGGGGATACTCTCGTCTGAAGGAGAAAAAAAAAAGAAAACAAACAATAAATACACACCTGGAGGCCAGGGGCTGCAATCATCTTCAACAGCCCCATCTGTCACACCAACGTTTTTTCAAATTTGGCCATTTTAAAAGAGGCGTGGACTTCAACTCCCAGAATTCCTCAGTTAGCAAGCTGACTTAAGTACCACAAAGTGCAATGAAAATCTTGGCTTAATGTGATGCCTGAACACAGGCAACTGTGTCTCATCAAACCAAGATTAAACAGCCTATGGCTTAAGTGTAACTCAGGTGTAACTCAAAAGAAACAGAGGATGCTAATCATCTCACTTACTTATCAAACTTAACTGCCATTTTAATGACATCTGTGTCTTCAGGGTGATCATCATTATTTGGGCTCTTGACTTGTAGCGAAACTTTTTTCTTCTCCAGTAAATCAGATGCTTCTTGGAAGAAACTACTCATCTCGAAAACCTCACTGATAAAAAAAAAACAAATTAATTCTAGAAAACGTTCAGTTCTGAAAATGAAATATATTTACATATACCTACACATACAGGTAGTCCTCGACTTACAACAGTTCATTTAGCAAACATGCATTTTAATGTTAATATGTATTATTTTAATGTTTCAGTGTTTTATCTTGTTGCTTTTGCTTTGTTGTTAAGTTGCCAAGAGTCGCTTCTAGGCGAGATGGGCAGCACATCGATTTAACAAACACACAAACTAAGCGAGTGGTGCTCAAAAGAACCCCTCTTGATCATTTTGCATTAGGTTTTTATATTACTGGGAATAATAGGAAATGACGAGTAAGATAAGTAAGATTAAATTCCATCTGTGATGTGAAGACTGGAACCATTCTAATAGAATAATAGAAGATTTCCTTCCAGCAATGGCAGTTAGCATGTATTAAAGAAGGAGATAAACAAAAGTGGCAAGTTTTTGCATTAAAAACTGTTAACAAATATTTTAACCTATTTGCATTTTAGCACTGTACACCGTTGGCTTTATCCAGGGACACGTTTAATTAAAATAAAAACATGAAAATGCCCTTACCAGATTTCCTGCAAGGATTGTGCGGCGTGCAGCTTCTTTCCTTGTGCGTTTTCTAATTGGTCCCTTAACATCTGGCACAAGCAATATTTTGTATTGGTGAAGTGATTGTCATATCTCACTGCCTAAGGAAAACAAGATGAGTAACAACACTTTGACAAAGGAGAAACAGAGGCCTTCAAATATCCAATTCTCGTTCATTTCTAGAAAGGCAGATTTCCAACTCTCTTTGACTTGCAGGAAACTTTAAAATGTGTCAGAAACCTGGTACTAAAAAAAACCCTCATCTTTCTCTCGTAGCAGACATCTAGATTGAACAAACTGTGTAGTTTACAGATGGGGAACAGTTACTCCATTAAGGGCAGACTTCCTTTCAATACAATATCTTATTAGATTTATATCCCGCTTTTCCTTCAGGGCCCCAGAGAGACTTAAACAGTGCTTCTTCTCCTCTTTTCCCTAAAGCAGGGGGTCTCCACACCTGACAACTTCAACTGTACAGAACTGCAGGAACCTGCAGTTATGAAACCCAGAGAAATGGGAGACCACGGTTTCACGTTCCTGCAGATATAATTAAGCCTTCCCCCCCCCCCCCAAAGAGACTGCTATCAAGAATGCCTACGTATTTGATGTATTCCTCCATGACGTCCTTCAGGGGCAAAGAGCCTTCCTTCCTGAAGATGGAGGGGTTCCACATGGCAGCCCGGGCGACCATTACGGAAGATGCTGAAGTCGCTTCCTGGAAGATCCGGAGGTCAGAATATTCTTTGATGAAATCGTAGGATCCTCCACTGAAAGGAGAACATTGTCTGCATTACCAGCAGTGGTGCATGGACATGGTGTAGATTAGATGTGGTGTCTATGAGGATTCTCAGTTATCCAGGTGCTAGTTGCATCAAAAGTGGTTTTTATTTTGAAAAGGAGACTGGATTCTCAGTTATCCAGGTCCTAGTTGCATCAAAAGTGGTTTTTATTTTGAAAAGGCGACTGGATTCTCAGTTATCCAGGTGCTAGTTGCATCAAAAGTATTTTTATATTTTGAAAAGGAGACTGGATTCTCAGTTATCCAGGTCCTAGTGGCATCAAAAGTGCTTTTTATTTTGAAAAGGAGACTGGATTCTCAGTTATCCAGGTCCTAGTGGCATCAAAAGTGCTTTTTATTTTGAAAAGGAGGCTGGATTCTCAGTTATCCAGGTCCTAGTTGCATCAAAAGTGGTTTTTTATTTTGAAAAGGCGACTGGATTCTCAGTTATCCAGGTCCTAGTTGCATCAAAAGTGGTTTTTTATTTTGAAAAGGCGACTGGATTCTCAGTTATCCAGGTCCTAGTTGCATCAAAAGTGGTTTTTTATTTTGAAAAGGAGACTGGATTCTCAGTTATCCAGGTCCTAGTTGCATCAAAAATGGTTTTTTATTTTGAAAAGGAGACTGGATTCTCAGTTATCCAGGTCCTAGTTGCATCAAAAATGGTTTTTTATTTTGAAAAGGCGACTGGACTGATATTTTTTTTTTTGAGGAAAAACAAGATGTTTAGCTTCCTATCCCAGAAGCTTCATCAGTTGCATCAGATGCTGTGGGAGATGGAAAGGAGAGTTATTGACAAGTTGAGATTAGTTGGTGGGAGGGGGGAATGACTGGTTCTGACAGGATGGTGGTTCCACACCTCTGATTCAGGAGACCCTGAGGTCATAGGTAAAACCCCAAGTAGCGACAACGGCTCTCAGAGAGTGTTAAAGATGAGATGACCGCAAAGAAAACACAATCTTTCCATCCCCCCCACACACATCCTGTCAGAACTTATCACTCTCCCTCCCACGACGAATCTCAACTGTCAATAACTCTCCTTCCATCTCCCCTAGCTTCTGATATAAATGATGAAGCTTCTGGGATAGGAAGCGAAAAGTCTTGTTTTTCCTCCAAAAAAGCCAGTCCAGTTGCCTTTTTTAAAATAAAAAAAACCCACTTTTGTTAGACGTTGTGCATTCTGCAGAACAGCAAAGCTGCTGAGAGGTATGTTCCCAAACTCTGGAGAGGGTGGGACACACCTTCAAAGCGGGCATCGAGCAATTCAAAGGGCCAAGATCTACGCAGGCATTCTGTCAATCAGTCATCTGGGCAACTTGAAGCATGCTAGCTAGGAAATTCTGGAAGTTGAGGTCCACTCAGCTTAAAGCCAACCCAGTTTGGAAAACACACTGCTTTAAAAAAAAATGTTAGCATGAATAGCCCAGTACACATAGTCCTCGACTTACAACAGTTCATTTAGTGACAGTTCAAAGTTACAAAAGCACTGCAAAAAGGGACATAACTATTTTTCATAGTCTCAACCTTTGCAGCATCCCCCCCCCATGGTCACGTGATCAAGATTCAGGCGCTTGGCAACTGGCTTGTATTTATGACGGGGTCATGTGATCCTCTTTTACCACCTTCTGACAAACAAAACCAATGTTCCTAATTTAAGAACTGCAGCGATTCACTTAACCATGGTGGTTAAATGGGGCAAAGCTCACGTAACAAATGTCTCACTTAACAACGGAAAAATTGAGATCAGTTGTGGTCATAAGTCAAAGACTAGGCCAGGGGTAGGCAACCTTGGCTCTTTTATGACTGGTGGACTTCAACTCCCAGAATTCCTGAGCCAGCATGGCTCAGCTTGGAAGCCTCTCCCTTTCCCCTCAGCATGGCTGGCTCAGGAATTCTGGGAGTTGAAGTCCATGAGTCATCAAAGAGCCGAGGTTGCCTACCCCTGGACTAGTGTATAGCAGATGTCTGAAGCTCTGCTGACTGCAGGAGAGGCAACATTTATGTCCACAATGCACTGTCATCCATCAGGTCAGCTTGTTTGCGCCAAGGCTGGACGCTCCGGCCGGAGAGTGAATTCGTTCTACTTACTTGGCTATTACTGGGATGGAAACTACCTCAGAGATGGCTTTGATCACATCACAGTGGACAGGGTGCTGAGGCCTCTCCTCTTTCTTCCTTCATAAGGGAAAGACCAGAGATTAGCAACAGCACTTAAGACACCGCTTCACAGTGCTTTACAGCCCTCTCTAAGCGGTTTACAGAGTCAGCCTATTTGCCCCCAACAATCTGGGTCCTCATTTGACCGACCTTGGAAAGATGGAAGGCTGAGTCAACCTTGAGTCGGTCAAGATCGATCTCTTGGCAGTCAACAGAATTAGCCTGCAATACTGCATTCTAACTACTGCGCATCATGGATGGATGGATAGAAGGAAGGGCAATAGCAATAGCACTTAGACTTAGATACCGCTTCACAGTGCTTTTACAGCCCTCTCTAAGCAGTTTACAGAGTCAACCTATTGCCCCCAACAATCTGGGTGCTCCTTTGACCGACCTCGGAAGGATGGAAGGCTGAGTCAACCTTGAGCCGGTCAGCATCGAACTGTTAGCAGTGGGCGGAGTCAGCCTGAAATACTGTATTGTAACCACCGCGCCACCATGGCTTTTGAGCAGCAGAGCCAATTCCAACCTCAAAGGGTTTTATGATTAGAAGGACCCATCTTTTCAGATGGAGGATTAGTTTACCTTCCATGAACAGCAATAGCAGCAACTCCCGCCTGCTCTATCCTCTTCACTAATCTTAGAGTTTCTTCTTCCTGAAAATGGTGGTGGGGGGAAAAAAAATCAACACTCACCCAAGTTTACTACTTAACTTTCCTGAAACTAAATGTGGATGAGATTCCACACAAGTATGCATAATCTTTTTTTTTTTTTTTGAGGAAAAAGGTGGCCAGTTGGTGTCCCCCACAGGTTGGACTTGCCCAACCCATTACAACATGCGCCAGGTTCTTGGCAGCTGCCTTAAACCCCAAATGATTCATTTTGCCAAGTACAAGTCCTTAATGAGATTTATCGGGATGAGATTACAGGAATTACAGCAAATAAATTCCCGGTTTTGAAATACTATGTGTCTGTGTGTTATGAAGAAAATCAGAAAGCCCCCATTAGCTGCAGTCACCATTATCTCCCTTATTGGTTCATTTTCACTCGGTGCAGTTGCTGCTAACGAAGCAAAAACTGAATTTTTGCATCGAAAGTGATCTGTCCAAGAAAAAAAAGGGGGTCTGTACATTATAGACTTTATAACATTATATAGGAATGGCTACTGTTTTAAGCCTAAAACGTTCAATGGCCGAATCTGTGTGGGAACTGTTCACATCAGTTTTAGATTTCCCCTCCTTTGTTGTCGTCAGAAAATTCTTGTTCTCTCCGTCTTGCGAAACCTTTAAATCCGGGGTGCTGCAATGATGAAGTCATGTCTCCTCAAGTTCTCCACCAAACAATAAACAAGCTAAATGGACTCTTAATGACTTCCTATCGCCGTCTTCTCATGAACAAGGCCCACAGCTCTGCCTGCAAGCTGCACATAAAAAAAAAAATCTTCCTGCTCTCAGCCTGATCCTCCAGACAAGCTCTGAACTAGGAATACGGGAAAGCTTGAATAGGTTCCCAGACGCCATTAAGTGTTACTGCCAAGCAAAAAAAAACAAACACAAAAAACCAACAACACATCACTCCGCAAAGGAAAACACAGGGCTACAGATATTCGCCACTATTGCAAACCGCCTAGTTGTGACCTCTGCACGGCTTTTGGTAGAGCTCCACTCAACGTATTCCCGCCCTGCTGCCTTTTCACAGCCCCCTCCGGTTCCTCCAGTTCTCCACCTGCTCTTATTTTTACAAACAGCCACAGAACACGACAAGCCGGGCGCTCGGCATACTCACGGATTCTATTCTGTCCGGATCAGACAAGAGCGCCGCTCCCATTCCGCCCTGGGAAAATACATAAAAAATAGGCCTTCGTTCATCTCAGCAGCCCAAAATATCCCCAGGAGGTTCTACAGGTAGTCCTCGATTTGCAACCGCTGGAAGTTACAACGGCATTCGGAAAAAAGCGACCCGTGACTGTTGCGGCATCTCCACAAGTCATGTGATCAAAACCCAGGTGCTTGGCAACTGGTATGGACTTAGGACAGTTGCATTGTCCCAGGATCATCTGATCACCATTTTAAAACTTTCTCAGCCGGCTTTCGACAAAGCCAAGGGGGGGGGGGGGGAAAGGCAGATTTGCTTAATGACCGCATGATTCAATTAACCACTGCGGTGATTTGCTTAACAATTGTGGGGAAAAGGTTATAAAGTTGTTGACTCGGCCTTCCATCCTCTGGAGGTAAAATGAGGACCCAGATTGTTGGGGGCTGGCTCTGTGAACTGCTTAGAGAGGGTTGTAAAGCTCTATGGGGCAGTATGTAAGCCTAAGTGCTGTTGCTATTGCCCTCCCTCCCTCCCNCACTAGACAGGTTCTTTTTTTTCCCCCAGACATGTAATATCTGAAATATTGTAATATATCCTTACCGATGACAAAATTCGGATTTTGCAAGTTACCGGCTTAGACACACCCTTGACAAGTGTAGTCAAAATCTAAAGGGGAGGAAACAACAGCAGTCTTTTAAGAACAAGAGAGGCAGAACGCTTTGGAAATTTAGGCCAGTGCTGCAATGATGAAGTCATGTCTCCTCAAGTTCTCCACCAAACAATAAACAAGCTAAATGGACTCTTAATGACTTCCTATCGCCGTCTTCTCATGAACAAGGCCCACAGCTCTGCCTGCAAGCTGCACATAAAAAAAAAAATCTTCCTGCTCTCAGCCTGATCCTCCAGACAAGCTCTGAACTAGGAATACGGGAAAGCTTGAATAGGTTCCCAGACGCCATTAAGTGTTACTGCCAAGCAAAAAAAACAAACACAAAAAACCAACAACACATCACTCCGCAAAGGAAAACACAGGGCTACAGATATTCGCCACTATTGCAAACCGCCTAGTTGTGACCCCTGCACGGCTTTTGGTAGAGCTCCACTCAACGTATTCCTGCCTTGCTGCCTTTTCACAGCCCCCTCCACTTCCTCCAGTTCTCCACCTGCTCTTATTTTTACAAACAGCCACAGAACACGACAAGCCGGGCGCTCGGCATACTCACGGATTCTATTCTGTCCGGATCAGACAAGAGCGCCGCTCCCATTCCGCCCTGGGAAAATACATAAAAAATAGGCCTTCGTTCATCTCAGCAGCCCAAAATATCCGCAGGAGGTTCTACAGGTAGTCCTCGATTTGCAACCGCTGGAAGTTACAACGGCATTCGGAAAAAAGCGACCCGTGACTGTTGCGGCATCTCCACAAGTCATGTGATCAAAACCCAGGTGCTTGGCAACTGGTATGGACTTATGACAGTTGCATTGTCCCAGGATCATCTGATCACCATTTTTAAACTTTCTCAGCCGGCTTTCGACAAAGCCGGGGGGGGGGGGGGGGAAAGGCAGATTTGCTTAATGACCGCATGATTCAATTAACCACTGCGGTGATTTGCTTAACAATTGTGGGGAAAAGGTTATAAAGTTGTTGACTCGGCCTTCCATCCTCTGGAGATAAAATGAGGACCCAGATTGTTGGGGGCTGGCTCTGTGAACTGCTTAGAGAGGGTTGCAAAGCACTATGGGGCAGTATGTAAGCCTAAGTGCTGTTGCTATTGCCCTCCCTCCCTCCCTCCCTCCCTCCCTCCCATCCATCCATCCATCCATCCATCCATCCATCCATCCATCCATCCATCCATCCATCCATCCATCCATCCATCCATCCATCCATCCATCCATCCATCCATGATGCGCAGTGGTTAGAATGCAGTATTTCAGGCTAATTCTGCCCACTGCCCACTTCGATGCTGACCGGCTCAAGGTTGACTCAGCCTTCCATACTTTGTAGGTTAAAAAAAACTATAAATGGGCAAGATCAACCTTACCTTTGTGGAATATTCTTTGGGGCATCCCATGTTGACATCGATGCCAGCGATGTCATCCTCTCTGAAACGACAAGGCAAAAAGACAATCACAAAGGCATGAGGAGATTTTTTTTAACATTTAGACACACACAAACACTATTAAGCAATTCATTTTCAGAGTAACTAGCCAGTGGCTGAATGCTTTCACTTTTGTTTATATGGCATATGAGCTCACGAGAATTGTTCGAACGTAACATGAAAGAAGTACAACACATAAGTAACATGCATGTAAATATATACACGGACAGATACCTACACAAGTTTGGCTACCGCCAAGGCTCTCTCAGCATCAGCTGTGCCCTGAACAACAGCGAGGGGAAAAAACATATAGGATTATTTTTCTAGAAAGATTGTTAGTTCATTCTTCAGCTCCACAGCTCACAGAATTGCTCGCATATACATTAAAAAAAATAGAGGTACTCCTCATTAAAAAAAAAAAAACCTAGATAGGACTGGCAACTCTATCGTTAAGTAAAGCAGCCATTGTGGGAAATGAACTGCACTTTCTGGCTGGAAAGAGACAAGACTATTGTCAGGTGCAGTTTCACAAGCACATGTGCAGTTGCAATAAGGATTTATTGCAATGGTTGGCAAATATCTATAGCTCTGGTGTAGGATGAGGGTGAACGTTCGTTCTCCGAGCTTGTGGGTTGGTTTCTGAACATTTTAATAGTAGTAGTAATAGTAGTAGTAGTAATAATAGTAATAATAATAATAATATTTCTTGAAATCTCTTTCTCTCAATCTCTCCACTCTGTGAGGAGGGTGGGGGAGGCCAGACAAACAAGAGATTGCCTACAGAAATAGATTTTCTTTCTCTCCCCACGTGACCACCCCGATTTTATGACCTTTTTGTGGCGGTTGTTTCACTTGAGCAGTTAGCTTTGCTTTTGTAAATCTTAACAGTTTCATACCATTTGAAAAACAACGTGGTTTTTTTCTCTTGCACAAGTCCTGAACACCACTCTCTCGTTGGGGGCAACAAAGTCCACCGTTCCAAGAATATCTGTGGGACACAGAAGGGAAGAAGTCTTTACTTAAGGACTCAATTAACAGATTGTTAATTATTAATTAACACAACCCATAGTGCCATTCAAGATTTCACTTCTTAGATCTTCACCGCTGATTACAGCCAAAGATTAAATCACGATATCAATGCTGAAAATTCAGTTTGTAATTGTGTTTATTAAATTTGCTGGATATGGCATTTTTACATAAGCTCTGAATGCTTCTGAAAAAAGGAGCATCCTTTACATAAATGTCAAAAACAATATATTTAATAATCTATAAATAAAGTTAAACATGCCAGCAATTTATAAGATGAGCCATAAGCAAGAACAGGTCAGTATTATTATATACGTTTAGTTTAGTTTACAGCTGGAATGATTAATTATATACACTATAATTTGATCAAAAGTTTATGGGTTACATATTCAAATATGTACGAACCAATTATTACCATTTTTTTACCACTGTTAATTTCAGTTTCATCAAGACGTTTTAATTTCTTTAACAAGCACTTTATTTAAAGAAAACAGGCCACATTAATCATTGTCTTCAGCTACCAGTTAGGAAAAACAGAACTTTTTCATTTTATTTGTCGCTCAAATATCAAATAAATACTTGCCATTTACAACTCTTTTGCACTGAAGCATCTTTATGTCAATCAGCTCCTTAAAGAACAAGGCAAAGGTTAACAAAGAATTTCATCCCAATAGGGGGAAAAACAATTTTTAAAAAGTAACCCCCTTTCCCTTTAATATACAGAAGAGGTGACTGCTGTCTTCTGAGATATTTCAAGACTAGTTTTCAGCTCTGGAAATTCCCTAGTGGTCTCTCTTCCCAGTTAGTATTGGTCGATGCTGCCATTTGCAGAGACAGAATTACAATTATATAAATACTGAAGAGGCTTTTACAATCAGAATCCAAAACCCTTGCTTCAAATACGGTTTCTAGCATTCTATTTGCGAACTCTATTCAGAGTGTTTCCCTCTATGAATTACTACATAATGGCTGGTATACATAACTACATAATGGTTCATATACATTTTGTATACTGCACGGGTCAGAAAGAGGGTTGAGAAAATATATACAGACCCCTCACATAAACCCTAAACACAAACTATTTCAACTGCTCCCCTTAAGACGCCACGATACGACATTGCATTCCAAAACAACCAGACATAAAAACAGGTTGTTCCCTCTGTTGAAAACCTAGTTACCATACTACTGTCTTATATCTAAGTATATTTACCCACATCGTATGGCTGTATTACTATTACCCTTCCCATCTTTTCTACTACTTTCTCCTGTTGGTATCCTAGGATTATATTACTTTGTTGTTTGTATGTACACTGAGAGCTTATTACACCGGTGGCAAATTACTTTTTTGTCCAATCACACACGGCCAATAAAGCCATCTATTCTATTCCTATTCCATTATCTCCTGAAAACAGTCTGAAAGAGATAGAAACACCCCTGTCCCCTACCTCACAATACACAATGTCAGCACCATAATCCAAAGCCAGCAGTCTCATCGGCAGGGTCCCAACCCGCACCATGGGCGCCAGTATTGCTTTATTTGTGAAACTGAGGGCTATGCAGTTCATTGGCATGATGTCTTTGGAATCAGCTGAAAGAAAGAAAAGTAGGGGAGAAAACATGTTCAAAAATTAGAGAGTCCCACTGAATTGAAGTAACGTAAAAACTGACCAATTAAATTATTCTTTGCATAAATAAGGAAAATCAGCAACAAAGATGACTAGGGGACTGGAGGCTAAAACATATAAGGAACGGTTGCTGGAATTCGGTATGTCTAGTTTAATGAAGAGAAGGACGAGGGGGGACATGATAGCAGAATTCCAATATCTCAGGGGCTGCCCCAAAGAAGAGGGAGTCAAGCTATTCTCCAAAGCGCCTGAAGGCAGGACAAGAAGCAACGGATGGAAACTAACCAAGGAGAGAAGCAACCTGGAACTGAGGAGAAACTTCCTGACAGTTAGAACAATTAACCAGTGGAACCACCTGCCTCCAGAAGCGGTGAATGCTCCAACACTGGAAGTTTTTAAGAAGAGACTGGACAGCCATTTGTTTGAAATGGTGTAGGGCAGGGGTAGGCAACCTTGGCTCTTTTATGAGTCGTGGACTTCAACTCCCAGAATTCCTGATCCAGCCATGCTGGCTCAGGGATTCTGGGAGTTGAAGTCCACGAGTCATAAAAGAGCCAAGGTTGCCTACCCCTGGTATAGGGTTTCCTGCCTGAGCAGGGGGTTGGACTAGATGACCTCCAAGGTCCCTTCCAACTTTATTGTTGTTGTTGTTATTATTATTATTAAAATCCCATCCATTGCACTTATAACTATCACAGTCAGATACAGCATCCAATCCTGGCTTAATGTGTTGCCCTATACAAAAGAACCTACTCCAACCAAGTTACGGTTTGATTCTGATAAAACAGCCCTATCCATGCAAAGCCGGCTGAGGAATTCTGGGAGTTGAAGTCCACAAGTCTTCAAGCTGCCAAGGTTGGAGACCTCTCTTCTAGTCTAAGATAACGAACCTATTGAACACTCTCGCCTCCTGTTTCCCCTACTACAACAACCCCGTGAAGTGGGCCGGGTTCCCGCCGGGCCCAGCCTGCCCCAGGCCTTCCCTCCGCCGGGGGAAGCCAGGCGAGCCTCAGGTCGGAAGCGGCTCCCACCGCAACTCACCAGACGCCGGTTCCCATCGCTCGGGCCCGCCTCGTCCGCTGCCGCGCATGCGCCAGGCGACGAGATATGACGTCACTGCCTTGTCCTTTTTTTTTCTCCCCCCCCACACATTCGAAGCAGAGATATGAAAGGGTAGAGATGCCCAGATGTAAACAAATGCCAAAGTTGTTTTTTTCGAATTACAATTGTACAATTGTACTTCCATAAACGTTCAGTGGATCCCATATCAATGAAATCAGGCCTCCGCGCTTGGCTCGCCCTTATAACGGTTATACGGAATGCCCCATGCTTCAAAAATTCTTAGGATTCCTGACCGAATTGATAAAATCCGGTTGGCTGGAAACAAAATTATGACATACTTATAAACGACCCGTTCAAATGTTTGCGGCCCAGTTCTGATAAACCGCAAGTTTATTACTATAGTCTTAACCCAGGAGTCTTCAAACTTGGCCCTTTTATGACTTGTGGACTTCAACTCCCAGAATTCCTCAGCCAGCCATGCCTGGCTGAGGAATTCTGGGAGTTGAAGTCCACAAGTCATTAAAAGGGCCAAGTTTGAAGACCCCCTGATTCTAACCCACGCTCTCAGCTGATCTCTATGTTTACTCTAAATGTCAAGCCATCCTCTTAGGAAAACAATCCTAAAACTTATGAAAACGATCCTAACGCCCCACAGAGAAACATTGTACTGTCGCCTTCATTAATGAAACATTAATATAAAATATAGACGATCCTAAAGAGAGGCTCCTCTACATTTTTATGCTCTATGTTTTTTAAGCGCCCAGGAGGTGAGGGCGTCATTGACGTCATCGAGGAACGCCTCCCCCGCGAGGCCTAAAACCGCGCCCGCCGTGTACGTCATCCATTGGCGACCGTCGCGTTCTTCCTTACCGCTCCAACATGGCGCTCTCGCTTTGGGGGATTCGTGGATCGGCGGCGGCGGCCGCCCGATTCCCCTCGTGGCTGCCGCCGGCCGTGCGGGGCTGGACGCTGCGCCAGGCCTCCGGAGCGTCCCCGCCTGACGACCGCGTGGTGCGGATCCCCCACGCGTGGAAGCTGCGCCTGGAGCGGCCGGCGTCCAAGCGGGAGCGAGGCGGGAGCCCCGAGAGGGAAGGCAGCGCGTCCTTTGGGGGAAAGCTGCTGCTGCGGACCCGGAGACGCGAGCTGAGCCAGGCGGCCCGGCACACGGTGGGCCGCCTGGAGAGGCCGCGCTTGGTGTCGGACGGCTGGAAGCACCGCTTGTCCCGCGGGGATTATTTCCAGCTGGAGCGGACGCGAAAGGAGCCTCTTCCGGAGCCGGCCGACGGGGAGCCGGCCCCGTCCACCTTCCTCGAGCTGGGCCTGGAGCCTCGCGTGGCGGCCCCCTTGCAGGAGGTGCTGGGCGTCTCGCGGCCCACGCCGGTGCAGCAGCGCACCATCCCGGCCCTGCTGAAGGGGGGCCACGCGCTGTGCGGGGCGGAAACCGGCAGCGGCAAAACCCTGGCCTACCTGCTGCCTCTCTTCCAGCGGCTCTTGCAGGCCCCGAAGCTCCCCGAGAAGGACGCTTATGCCACCTCTCCCCGCTCCTTGGTGGTGGTGCCCTCCCGAGAACTCGCAGGGCAGGTGCGTAGAGTTGCCGCCTCCTTGGCTGGTCCTTTGGACTTGCAGGTGAAGGAGGTCGGCGGTGGCCGGGGCACGGCTGCGCTTCGGCGCCGGATCCGTGAGGGTCCCACTGACCTCTTGATTGCCACGCCCGGTGCTCTGAGCAAAGTCCTGAAGAGGAAGATGTTGTCCTTGGAGAAACTGCTCTTCTTGGTGTTGGATGAAGCGGATACCCTCCTGGATGCCTCCTTCATCGATCTGGTGAAAGATATCGTTCAGCATGCTTTCTTGAAAGATGTCGTTCAGCAAGCTTTTCTGGACCCGCATTCTGAAGACAGGGATGAGGCTTGGGATCCCAAAGCCCAGCTGGTGGCGATGGGTGCTACCCTTCCAAAGGGGCTGAGCCAGATGTTGAGCGAGTCTGCCGATCTCTCCAACTTCACCGTATTGACCGGTTCAAGTTTGCATTGCCTTCAGCCTCACGTGGAGCAAAGGTTCGTACGTCTGAAGGGCTGCGACAAAGTAGCGGAGCTGCTACAACACCTCAAAGAGCGAGGGCCCTCCTCCGGAGCCGTCATTGTTTTCTGCAACAGAGCCAGCACTGTGAACTGGCTGAGTTACATTTTGGAAGACCATAAGATCAAACATTTACGCCTGCAGGGAGAAATAGCAGCTGATACGCGAGCTGGCATATTTAATGCCTTTAGAAGAGGCGAGTCTGACATTCTGTTGTGTACTGATATCGCTTCCCGTGGATTGGACACCATTCATGTTGAGCTCATCGTTAATTACGACTTCCCGTTAACGTTGCCAGATTATCTGCATCGGGTGGGACGTGTTGGCCGCATTGGCAGTAAATTCCCTGGGACTGCGGTCAGTTTTGTAACCCATAAGTGGGATGTAGATCTTGTTCGGAAAATAGAAACGGCAGCTCGCAAAAGAAGTCCGCTCCCAGGGCTAGATATAGTTGTTAAGGAGTCTTTGCCGAAAAAGAAGAAATTCTGAATTTGCCTGGAGGACCTAGAATGAATCTAATGTTTGCAGCAGTTCCTAATATATTTCTGACATTTTGTGTATTTGATTTTTGACCACTCAGTTCCTTAATAAAACTGTGCTAATACATGGATGCTGACATGGAACAGTCAGAGACTTCATCTATCCTATAAAAACATGGAGGATATTGCATCCATCATATTTATTCAACATATTTACATATGTTTTGTATTGTCCAAATTGACTTTATATATTATTCTACAATTGGTAAAATCCAGCAGTTCAGTTCAGACTTCCTCCGGGCTCTGCCATTCTAGGTACAATTTGGTAGTTTCCTGGAAATACACTGCATGTACCAAAAGCAGCTTAATGCATGCTGGTTATTACATTCTGAATTCAAAAAATAGTGTGCAGCTAGTCCTCAACTTAAAACAGTTCATTTAGTGACCATTCAAAATTACAGCGGCACTGAAAACTGACTTACGACAATTTTTCACGCTTAATTACTATTGCGGCAATCCCGTGGTTATGTGATCAGAATTCAGATGCTTGGCAACCGACTCATATTTATGGTGGTTGCAGAGTCCCAGGGTTATGTGATTGCTTTTGAAACATTCTGATGAGCAAAGTCAACCAGGAAACCCAGTCCACTTAATAACCATGTTACTAACTTAACAACTGTAGTGATTCGCTTCACTGTGGCAAGAAAAGTCATAAAGTGGGGCAAAACTAACATCTCACTTAGCAACAGAAATTTTGGGTTCAGTTGGCATAAGTCGAAATGGTATGGCTTGAGCAGGGGGTTGGACTAGAAGACCTCCAAGTCCCCTTTCAGCTCTATTCTGATTGATTGATTGACTGTGCATCCTTAATATGGTTTGTAAACTCATTGGACTATCATATACTAATTGCATATTTGGTCAGGTTTCTGCTTTCAGTGCCAGAACACAAATGTTAATAAGTGAAAGAAGTGCCCTTGGGCATGTACAGAGAGCTTTTGAGGAGGTGCTGTGAACATTTGCAGTCATCCAGCTTACCTTGAAGAGTACAGAGGCAGACACGGCAGAACCGTGAGCAGTAATATCCAAGATCTCGGTGCATATTTAGAGAGCATGTTAAAACAAAGTGCAGGAGCTGTTAGAGTAGAATCATCATTGTCTCTTTAACCATGGTTTGGCTGCATGTGATCTACGTCAAAGCAGCTGCTATTTCCAATTAACTGGAAAAGTGGGTTGGGAAGGTATAAAAGAGCAATGCGTACGTTCTGGTCTGTGGTTTCACCTGATATCCAGGCATAGTGGTACTTTCACACAGCAAGCATGTTTACTCCACCCATAGCAATCAGAAATGGCCAAATTCTTGCATCGTTTTTATTCAGACGCCACAACCTATAGCGAATCTGAACTGCAACATCTGACTTAAAGGGATGAAGGGTGACGTGGAATCTCAGTTGAAAGTCAGCAGGTTGCTGAGCTTGTATTTAAAAATAGGCTTGTGAGTCTGCTTGCAAGCTTAATTTCTTGCAGAGCATATTGTGCAAATAAAGCCACTGCATTTGGCTACTATTAAAAGTACAGAAATAAAAGCAGAAAGGGCAATAGTTGAGAAAATTCAAAGATGTATCCTGTAGGGTTTTTGGGGGTAATCTTAATGGAATCTATCCTGTATGGCAAGCATGTCAAACTCAAGACATCACGTGACGTCACGCGACGTATCACAACTTTTTCCCCATTGCCAGCAATGGGGTGGGTGTGTTTTCGGCGTGACGCATCCGGCCTGTGGGCCGGCAGTTTGATATGCCTGCTTGCTGTATGGGATAAAAAGACTTTCTTGAAGCAGCAATGAAAGTTTAGCTTAAGAAAACTTCTGTGTTCATAAAAATCTATGTAAACTAAAGGACATTTTTAATACTGATTGGGATTAACCCTAACTTTCCACATTTGCCATTTCCCCAATTAGAAGCAAGAACTCCATGTTCTTTAGATCATAAAAGTAACAATACTGCAAAAAAAATAAATCATCACACCCTTGATTCCTTTCTAAACTTGCACAAGGTCAAGTCTTCTTCAAGTCAAGCTAAACTTGTGATTTAGGCAGACCATAAACCGAGGAAACCATATATCAAAAGCTCACTTTATTTTTGGTCAAACATTGTGGGAGCAGAACCATACTAGTTTGTTATAGGAAAAAAATCTGGAGTCCGTTAACCTTCTGGCTACCAAAATTTATTAAAACACATCAGCTTTCAGGAACTACAATTCACTTCAAGCTAAGCATCTGATTTTTTGGACCAGTCCACAGCTAGCATTGCCGAGCGAGCAGATTAGTAACCATTTAGCAACTGAAAAACAGAATGTTTTAATGCAGCGTGTTCCAATTTGCAAAGATAGGTTCCTTTCCACCACAATAAAAGTAATCAGTACAGTAAAGCATTTTTACATCTGTAGTGCAATACAACAACAATGGATACCCATTGGCTTCTAAACTAAGGATTCCAGTAACGCACAGTTATATAAACTTTGACAACCGAGCAAAACCATATCTGGACACAAACATTCACCAACACGGCAGTGTTCAGCACATTGCTTTGAACAGAAAAATACATCTGACCTCTTCAGTGTTTCAAAGATAATACCATTAATAAACAAAGGCAGTTCTAAATCGGGCCAAAATGAAGTGCGTATGTACGAAAGCAAATTCTCACATCTTTCTGCTGTTACAGATGGAACTTGAAGTGTGGCAACCTGCTGCCCCAGCTGCCACATTCGAGTTAAACTGTATTCGAAGCTGAGTTGGAACCTCAGTTTTCCCAAATGGCATTCCTTTACAGACAGATGATGGTTCGGCCACATGTGGACATCTTGCAGTTTAAATGCTGGAAAAAAGAACGTGTCTCCTTTCCAGGTTGTTGGATCCAATCTGAAGGCTTGTGTGGTCTAGTGAAAAAAAAGGAAATATGGAATCTGATTCATCATAGCTTGCTATGGTCCATATTGCTCGGCAGCTGAGCAACTACAGATCATCTATGTTCTTCCAGAGAAGGTCTCCTTGTGGACTTCCAGCAATATGCCAACCATTCTTCCCCAAAAGGTGGCAGACCCAGGATCTAAACCATTTTATTTCATTGACTTTGACAGTTAATTAAAATGAAATAACCCAATTAGTACCATCACCTCCAATCGTGCTTTCCTTCCTTTCCAAGTCTGGATGTTCCCGCAGATATGTGAATCTCAGCTCTATGAGATCTCTACAAAGGCATTATTTGCTGGAGGGTTCTGGGAATTGTGGTCCATACATCAAGGTAGCAGCTGCCCAGCTTTTGAGGGGCTACTGGGCAGACCACTTTCAGAGCACGGAGGCATGGTGTGGAAAACCTCAAATTGTGTCCTTTGTGCTGCATAAATTGACAGATTTCCAGCAGTTCCTAATTTCACAGTACCCTGCAGTGCCTCTTTTATTGAGGGTGTTTCTCTATATTTAGTTTATATTCCAATGAATAGAGAGAGACAGAGAGAGAGGATAGTTGCAAATCAGAAAGCAGTAAGTAAAGAGTCTTTCTTTCACAATAAAAACAACATATTATAATGTACTTTTTCCAGTTTAAGTCAGCTTGGGATTACACTTCCTGAACCTACAATACTCTTTACGTTTCTAGATCTTCTGGTTGCAAAGAAATCTTTGAAAATGTTCAGGCAAAGAAAGGAGAGATGGCTGAAAGAATTTCTGATAGTCAGCAAAAAAAAAAAAAAAAAGTTGCCCATTGCCCATCCTTTTGCTTTCCACGACTGCAGAATAAATTAACACATATCACTAAGAAGGGTGAAATCAATTTTACCAAGGAAGATAAACTTTGCAGCCTTGCATAATGCACTGAGGGTTTTTGCTTTGGCGGAAATTTCTTGAAACCTACACACAAAGCACCAACTGTCACACTAAACATCGAAATGCTTTCTGCGAGTTGAAGGGTTAGGGCTTGGTAGCAGCAACACTTGAGAGAGCTTGCTGTACTGGTGTCTCCTTTTCACTGCCTTTTTCAGTAGCAAGCAGCAAATAAAAATTCATACCTTCCAGAAAATTGGAACTTTCCAACTTTCCCATTATGAGAAACAGCTCATTGTCCCTCCTAAGCCACGAATGGACTAGTGCTGAAAAAGTCAAAGTGGTGCCAACAAAGAATGGGTAACAACTATGGTGTGCGTGATGGATAGGTAATATAACCATGGTGAAGATGAGAGATGGGCAATAGAACCATGTTGAACATCATAAATGGGTAATATAACTACGGTGAACATCAGAGATGGGTAATAGAACCCTGGCGAACCCTGGTGAACATATTACCCATGGTGGATGGGTAATATCACCATGGTGAACATCAGAGATGGGTCAAATAGCCATGGTAAATATGAGACATGGGTCACTTAATTATGAACATGACTCATGAATAATATCACCATGGTAAATATGATGGATGGGTAATATAAGCGTGGTGAACAAGAGAGCTGGGTAATATCACCCTGGTGAACACAACGAATGATCTGCTCAGGCCAGCTTTTCCAAGATGAACCATTTCTGAACACTTTGGTATAGTCACCCATTGGCTGTTCTTCCCATCCGACGTTGAGCTTCGGCTTCCCTTTCACACATTGGTTGTGGAGTGAGTAGTGGAGAAATTCTCCATGCGAACTCTCACCAGCTTGTCGGCAGGGGCTGGCTGAAGGAGGAACTTGCACGTGAAGACTTGACGGCAGGCATTGCGGAAATTCTCCGAGAGGAAAGCGTAGATGATGGGGTTGATGCAGGAGTTCCCGTAGGCCAAGCAATGGGAGATGATGCGGAAGGTGAAGGAGATATTGTTCAGGGGGAACTGGCCAAATTCTGCCCAAATTGTGATGATGTGGTGGGGGAGCCAGGAGATCAGGAAGACGGCAACAACCAGCAGGACGGTCTGGGCCGTCTGCAAGAAAGAAAGAGAAATTTTGGAGAGACAAACTGGGTGAACTGCAGCTTGCGCGGCATCGTTTTATTTTATTTTTTTACAAAGATGCCACATGCCAAGTTGTGTTTAATTATACGTCAAGCGATGGGCAAGAGTCGGATTTCCGACATTCAACTATTGGCAACCTGGCAGCTATCAAAGGGGTAATTAACTTTTTTTTAAAAGGTAATTTTAAAAAATGTAGTTCTTAAACTGGGCTTGGGACAGCTTGACAACAAACCTAATTTTATTTCTGCTACAGAGAATTTGGAGATTAATCTTGCAAATGATCTCACCCCTCAAAT